CGGCCCGCCGCCGCCATCATCGTCCTCGGCAGGGGCCGGGCCTTCTGCCGCCGCGCCTCCGCCCGCCCACCGCCGCCCTCAGGGAAGGGGCCGGCCCCTTCCCGGGGAAGGGAGGGAATTTAGGGCTGGAGCGGGATCGCGGGTCCCTCAGTCGGTCGCGGGTCTCTCAGTAGGTTGAGGGTCCTTCAGTCGCGGCCGCAGCGGCCTTCCCCGGGCGGCAGAGAGAGGGAGCGGGCGGGTCAGAGCGAGCCGCGGCGGCCCATGGCGCTGAGGGGGGAAAGTCGGGCAGAGCCTTTCGCCCCCACCCGCGGGCGGAGAGAGGGCCCATTGCAAACCTGCCCCCCGAGCGTCCCCAGCGCCTCAGGGGGCCCCGGGAACCTTCCCCAGCCGGTCCTGAGAGGGGCCGGGGGGCGGCTGGCTGCGGCCGAGCAGGGCGGCGGGAGGTACCGCTGTATCTGATAATGTGAAACCCCAGGACTTTAATTTTTTTTATTTGGAAAGCCTTTATTTGATGACAGTGTTAGAAGTGGCGAACTTGGTGTTGCTAAATGTGGAAGAGAGAGTGATAGCCGTTTGGAGGAGGCATCGAGGCCTTGAGGCCTTGGGCTGGATGGATGGAAGGGAGGGAAGGCTCAGTGTGTGGGGCTGGATGGATGGAAGGGAGGGAAGGCTCAGTGTGTGGGGCTGGATGGATGGAAGGGAGGGAAGGCTCAGTGTGTGGGGCTGGATGGATGGAAGGGAGGGAAGGCTCAGTGTGTGGGGCTGGATGGATGGAAGGGAGGGAAGGCTCAGTGTGTGGGGCTGGATGGATGGAAGGGAGGGAAGGCTCAGTGTGTGGGGCTGGATGGATGGAAGGGAGGGAAGGCTCAGTGTGTGGGGCTGGATGGAAGGGAGGGAGGGAAGGCTCGGTGTGTGGGGCTGGAAGGGAGGGAAGGCTCGGTGTGTGGGGCTGGAAGGGAGGGAAGGGCTCAGTGTGTGGGGCTGGCAGGATGGAAGGGAAGGCTCTGTGTGTGGGGCTGGAAGGAAGGGAGGGATGGCTCAGTGCATGGGGCTGGATAGGTATAGTGTACAGACTTAATACATTTATATTGTTACATAAATTGTGCGTGTATGTCTGTGTGTACATAGAAATGTAAATATATATATACACACATGCAGTAAACCTCTACTTGATATTAAGAGTTTGTTGGAGACCAGAAATACATATATACATACACAGAGAACTTAAGATAGTAAAGATGCTTTTTATTTAAATTGAAGATTCAAGTTATTTTAAAATTCCTTTGTTGTTTGCCACCAACTGTAGGTAAATGAATAAAACTTATAGCTACAAAAATTGCCCCAAGCTAAATGATCAGATGAGGTATATTAACTGGGTAAAAATTGTCTGAGTTTTGTAGCTGAAAGAGCTACCACCGAATTTGGGTAATTTTTGCATTACAACAAATCTCCTGCTCTTAGTTAATCTGTCAATTGATAGAAGGTCTGAGCCTACTTTTGGAGTGAGCCTACAGAATCAGCTGCCAAGCCAGGCAGAATCCTGAGGGTTTCTAGTGACCTAGGCCTTTAGATGGTGGCAGCTCTTCAAAGAGATCTGATCTGATCCTTTCTGTGAAGTCATTTTGCCAGTGCAGTCATTTTCCAACGGCTGGTCTCAGTGTGGTTGTTCGTTTTAAATAAACAACCAACCACAACTGAAATGCATTGTGAAATGTGGGAAAAAAAAAACCAACCAAAGAAAGTAACAACAAGGGAAAGATATTTTAATTTCCTTGCTTTTATTAGAGACTTTTGCTGCGGAATCTTGTGACATGAAAATCCTCTTCTGCAAAATTGTGGTATTCATAGAGTGCTAAGAATTTTCCAAATATATTCTTTAAAGATTTGAACTAGTTGTTGCTAAGTTACATGGCTGATGATTGTAAAAAAAGACTACTGTTCATTTTTTCATGGCTGATAAGAGGGAAGTAGTATTTAATTTTCTGAGCTTTAGATATTATACCGTGAAATGAGACTCCTTGTCACATGGTGGCTAATCCAATCATAATAGGTGGCGACTTTGGTGTACACGCCAGGATGACCAGCCTCCCCACAGTTCTCACCCCAGCTCACGATGCCCCAGACGTACGCCACGTTTTCTGCATCAAAACAGACCAGGGGTCCTCCTGAATCACCTTTGCAACTGTCGATGGAGCCATCGTAAGTACCTGAAGCGAAAGAGGAAATAAAAAGCAAAAATAAGTTCATATACAAGCTGGCACACAAAACAGAGCTCAGGTGGCTTTTTCAGGTCAGTGTTACTTCCTGACAGATGTTTGCATAATGGTCACCAGTAAAGGAGGTTCCCAGTCTTTTCTGTCTGTTCTCGTTTCTTTTGTAAAGGAGGTTCCCAGTCTTTTCTGTCTGTTACTTCTCAATTCCTTTTAAGTGAGGCCTCTCTTTACATTTACATGGCCAAATTCTCCTTTTTTTTGCTTTGATGTCAGTGATGAGGCCTCTCTTTACATTTACATGGCCAAATTATTCTTTTTTTTTGCTTTGATGTCAGCGATGTGAGTCTTGTTTTACCCTGTGCAATAGCGAAGAATTCAGCCATATAGATCATATATATTATGATATCGTAATATTTATTATATCATTAGAAGTATCTCATAAAAAGTGAACAAAACAGAAGGAAAAAGGTAAAAAGATTTGTAGGTGGGTTCCTGTGGAAACGAAGCTATCGTGATATGCGTGTGGCTACGTGTCTGCCTCTGGTGGCCTCTCTACCCAATAATTCACTGTCTGGTTTCATCTGTACCGAGCTGTACAGAGAGGCAGAGGCCTCAAAATTATTTTCTCTGCCAGCTTCGTGAAAATAGGTGGGCACGTACAAGGAGAGCACGTGAGTGCTGGGATAGGAGGGAGAGCAACTCCCTGGAAGTGCCCTCACTGCAAGGTCTTGGTCACAGCATGGACTTTTTGCAACACCAGATAGCAGCCCTGAGATACTTTCTTAAGTTTCAGCAGTCACAGAATTACTCGTTTGCAATTCAGCAAATAGAGTGCTCGTAAAAAAAAAAAATCAATTAAGAGTGAAGGGTATGATACAAACAGAAACACCGCTACAGAGCTAGAATATGACTTACGCTTTGTCCTATTTACTCAGTAAAAGTTTACTAATTTCTAACACCCTTACTACACTTTTCTGCTTGGTTGATTGATGTAGTATGAAGGAATCCACACTAAGCAGGAGTATCCCAAGTTTTTAAAATTATAACCTCTTTCTTGAATCTCTACGTTACTGAGAAAGAGTTTTGTGAACTTTTCAGAGTTGGAGTTACTAATCCTATAAAACAAGATTTTATTGCCTTTACTCAGTTTAATTAATATTTGCTTGTATAACTAACTCTGGCTTGTATAACTAACTAGCCCTTCATTCCAAAGTTTGTATTTGCATCAGGGAGGGGAAGCTGACCTCACATCCTCCTTTTCTGATGTTGTCCCATGTGATACTTTGTTCCCTCCTCGTAAAGTATGATCATTTGAAATACATTGAAGGTCAAGGAGATAAGTTACGGAACTTGCACAGTAGACAAACCCAGTATCTTACAGATTTTATGCTGAATTTATCATGAATGATTTGGCTTTTATATATGTCTTTCATTTTTCTTGTTAAGTAGCTCGTTTAAATACTACCTTTACCACTTGGTTTAAAGAACAGTTGAAACTATCAGCCCTGTGAGTTTGAATACTCATTGCTCTTTAAGTCATGTATTTGGCATTACCTTTTGTTCCTTTAGAAGGAAAAATGCATGTATTCAAAATCCTTATTTTAGTACTAGGAGGGACAACCAGTTTCCTGGCCAGACTAATCTTAGTTTGAAAAGTTAATTGTATTTTTCCTGGGGTGCAGTGTGGTAGCAGCAAATGTCTAAGCAGATGAATTGTCACATTCTAGTCATTGGGACTACTGATGTGCTCTAAAATAGGCATTTGCTTAAATATGTTGCTGAATCAGGATCCATTATAGTAAAGATAGGAAGCTCAGTGGGCTGTAAAGTACTTGTGGATTTTATAAAACATAACTCAGATTGCATGCTGAAATTTGCCCACATAATCATAGAAACTTAGCATAATGTCATCTTAACTCTGTTTATAAATAGATGTATAATGGTGGATGCATCTAGGCTCCAACGGCTTGCATTTTGCTAATGGTGATAGTGTGGCAATGGGTATATTGTCTTTCCCAAGTCTAAAGGATTCCCAGCCAGTTTTTCTGACCTTATAAACAGTGGGTTTGATGGTACAGAAATTATAGTAAGAAAATTTATGCTTGCCTGCACATGCCATTTGTTTAAAAAATCGTCCTGGATACAATTCAGAACAATTCTGAAATAAATTAATATTGCCCCACTTGAGGATGTATTGCTTGGTGTAACCTAGAAAAGAAAAGAAGAAACTTTTCTAAATAAAAAGAGGTAAACATGTATTTGACACTTTAAATACCATAAATTGAAAATTATATATTTGCTTATCTACAGAATATAATCTTCAATATTATAAACCAGGTACCTTAAACTGCCACTAACACGCTGTATGAATTGCAGTATATTGGCCATATATTTCAAAATAAAAGCAGATTGGCTTAATTGCAGTGTTAAATACAGCACTTTCATTTTGTGACACTTTTACACTTTCTTTGTCTTCCTCAGTTGTTTGGGTTTTTTTCTCTGTTTTCCGTATCAATGTTTTCAGACACTGGGAAACTGGTATATTGTTTTCTGTAAAAGGGAGATGTGGCTGATCATCCTAATTACCTTTTTTCCAGTTCTACTCTGTCTTTTTGGGATGAGTGGACCAGATATTGAAGACAGAGGTGAACTATGCATTCACAGGGTTAGGGAGGTTCTCTGTTTTGTTCTCTCTCTGTTTGCTAGTAATTCCCAACTTTGCATTTGCTTTATGGGCTGCTACCGAGTTTGGACAGGAGAAGCCTCACAACCAGCACGTAGTAGCTTCAATGCCAGGCTGGAATCACTGTGATACAGAAAACAAATGCTTTCTACATCTTTGAAAGATGTATTTGGCGTGTCCAACTGTGCAACCTTCTCAGGGCAAAACTCGAGCACAGCTGAGACAGGGTGTGCCGGGTTTCATCGCTGTTGGCTGCAGCTCAGACTCTCCTGGTTAGGGGACAGAGGCTGTGACTGTGGGCCACTGTGAGCTACTAACTGCTACATTTCTTATTGTTAGGGTTCTTTTCAACCAGGGGTGTCCTCCAGATCAGTTTACCAGGAGGCTGCAACAGCAGAGGAAGCAGTACAGAAAAGAGAACCACCAGCGAAAGCCAAAGCCGAACCGCAGCCTGTGTTTTCTGTACTCAGCCTCTTCCCAGTGCTTCGTGCACAGCTGCTCTTCAGCCTTTTCAAAAGGAAAGCTCACCACAATTAGAAAACGAGGGATGCAAGTAATACATTCTTGTAGCAAGCACTAAAGCAAGTACCTTTCTCCAGTCCCCATCCAGAAACCTTGCATCTGTCACCAGCCTTGAACATATACTCCGACCAGGGGATGCAGGCAGGGGTGCTGTACTTCAGGGAGCATTCTCCTTTCCTGAAACCTCTCAGCTCCAGCAGAGCAATGTCGTTTTCGTAAGTTGACGCATTATACTTCTCATGGATTATCAGTTGGTTTAGTCTGAAAGTGTCTGTCTCTTTGTCATACAGTATTGTATCCAACAGCCCAATCCAGACACGGTACAGATGAACTCGATTTGCCCTGGAAAAGAAACAACAGTGAAATAAAATATGTTTTCGTACTCAACACAAGCACTGTACGTTTCAACTAGCTGTAAACGTTTGCATTTTATCAAAGTCTCTCTGGAATAAAAATTCATATTCTATAGATATAGTTTCTTTCTGGACTTGCTGTCCAGGTTTTTCTAAAGTGTAGCAAATGCAAGGCAGATGACACTGCTGCCTAGGGCAACTAATACTGAAAAAAAAAAGCCATTAGAGGTCAGCCTCTGTGTTCAGTGCTGTGACAGAGAAAGCAAGTGGTTTTGCCTCTCTGATTTCAAGTGTAAAAAGAGTGAGCAGGTGTGGATGGGATGCTGGGACTGGCAAATCTTCCCTGTCTGCTCATGCTTGTTCTGGAGAGTATACGACCCAAGGGACATTCTCAGGGAGCAGGTCCTGGACTTCCCCAAGGTGGAGATGGAGAAGAGAGGAGGTCCCTTGTACCTCCCTTTCAGGAAAAGTGAACCTTTTACAGCAAACCTCTCCTACTCTGGGACTGAAGAACGCCGTGTCTCTTCAAACTCATCATTACCTTTTCATCTTTCTGTTCACTGCCAAAATATTCTATTTTCTCTGAATCTTCCCCATCATTAATGCGAGGTTTAAATCCTTTGATTCATTTGGCGAACAGGTAGCTAAGAAGGGCAATAATATCCAAACCAACCTTTCTGCCTTGCAAGAAGAACGTAAGTTCCCAGTTTGTTGATTTTACCTGACGCAGTGCGCAGCAGTCAGAACCCAACAGCCACCAATGTAAACCCCTCCACAGTACACTGTTGTACCTTCATTGCCAGTTTCTTTAATTGCCACTTGCCAAGGGAATTCACCCTATTCAAACAACAAACACCCACATAATGTGAAATCATTATAGTTGTACTATTTTTAGAGCATAACGGGAAACACGCTTCTTGGTATAACCTCATCTCCTTGACTATATCTGATTGTAACTAAAAAATCTGCTATCCAGAAATTGTGAATTGTGTTCCATCTGATAGAAAGGATATACATTCTAAAATGCAGTAATTTTGTTCAATCTTCTGACTTGGTGTGATGCCTCCTTCCCCCCAGCTTTCTGTCATGAAAAGCCTTGCAGCCAGAGAAACAGGTGTAGAATCTCACCTGGTATGATCAAGTACAGCATTTTTGACTGTATTCTGTTTCAAAGGTGCAAATTTAAATTCCATTTTGTCAGAAGTGTTATTTCTAGCTATAGTATTAAGTATTTTGCTGAATAATTTTCAATGTGTGCTTGTACTGTGATGCTCAATTTTGCATGTTTTACTTTATAAATTGTGCTTCTCTTTACTTTTGTTCAGTGCAATGCTACTACTGCTGCAAAACATGAAATTAGTGTTGTAGCTGATTTTGTTATTTCTGTACAATTTCACAGGAGGACAATAATGCCCACTGAAATTGATGCTGAACAACCTGGTATCTGGTAAGGTTTTTGTTTACCTTTCTTGCAATCTCTCCACCTACGATTCTTTTCCGGCGAGTTAATGTGTGATTTGTAAGACCGCAGTGTACTTGAGGAAGAAATGTCTTTATCCTTTTTCTTTCTTTAACAAAAAGGAAAAACGTGTCTCAGAATTCAGGTATCCATTCTCTCCATTTGGAGACAGGTTTGTCTTTATCTTGAAATTTTGAGTGCTCTGAGTATGCCAGAAGTTGCAGTAGTAGGAAAGCAAAACCCAAAAATTTTGGCGTCTGGTTGTGCTTTGAAAATTGCTTGTGTCTTAGCATCACATTACTTCTCCTAATTTCCCACTGCTGCTTGCACTCAGGTAAATAACTTTAAAGAAGTTCCCCTAGATTTGCTGAGAGTTACCTCCACCAGTTGCCAAAACATGCAGATGCGGATCCTCAGCCAGGAGGATAATTATTATGGCATTCTTGAAATTAGTGGAAAGCAAGACAAATAGTAAGCCCCAGACTGTGTAATACTAAATCACAAAGTCCAAATATCTGAGTGTTCTGGATCTGGCCAGCTGGCTGGGAGTTAGAAAGCCACTAATTAAGCTTTCGGAGGGTAAGTTACACTTACCTTCATCCATACTGTGATTTTCAGCACCATTGTCTTTGCCTGTAGCAGAATAAGAAAGTACTAAAAATACTGGTAAACGCTTAAATTTGGTCTGTTATTTGAATATATGTTTGTGTGCCAAAATCGTGGTACACATTTTAAATATACACATTTAAATGCATAAGTGCTCAGCATTTCACATGGACAGCAATATTCTCTCAGCTTGGTGCCTGCTGTTCCCTTTCCTACTAGGCACCCTTTGTCTGCCTCAGCCTACAAATGACCTCTGTTCCAGCAGAAACATCTACCCTGCTTTCCATGCCCAGGGAGCTCTTCTGCAAAGAAACTCTGAGAAATGGCCTCTTTTTTTTTTTTTCTGCTTTTTGATCTCTAAAGTGATATCCCATTCTCCTCCACCAGGAAACAACAGAAATTCCTCCTCCTGCCCCATCAACCTTTGGGAGCTTCCTAAAGCCCAGAGGAGTATTAGGTAACAGGATTTTTATTTTTTTTTGTCTAATTTAGATGATGCTGTTGTGTACTGTGTACCTCTTTTAACCAGGAGGTTATTCAATATGAGAGCTAAATTAATTGCTTCCTGAATCTGGTTTGTCAGCTTTTTTTCAAACAAAATGCCCATTGAATTTAGTTCCCAAATGGAGGTTAGGGATTGGGTCTGTTCTCGTGTTACTGACAGCAATGTTTACATTTAGAGTTCAGTTTACCTTTACCAATTACCATTTACCAATAGTGTTTACTTTTTGGCTTTAGACTTTGTCTCTTATCAGAGCAAGGAAAAAACATTCTAATTTCAAAACAAACCAAAATCTTCTCATCAGTCAGGGGAGCAGCACAGAAGAGTTATTATATTGACAAACTAGATGAATTCCTCATCTGTGAGGAAAATTATCCTTCCTGCCCTGTCTATGCTTTCTTCACAAATAGGGAATACCAATTTGATAGATGGCCACGTAAGCAAAGGACATAATCTGCCCTAAGCCTCCTAAAACATAATCTGTTTCTTCCTTCCTTTAGTTTTCTTGCTATTCTTTTCTAGAAGGAAAGGGAGAAAAATTCTGTGACCTTTTCTTCATACTACGCATAACATAGCGCTGGGAAGATTAATTCTTGCATGCATTTTGGTTTTGCTAATCTGTTAAATAATTTAACACTACGCAGTGTGTAGTTTCTAGTTATAATTGAGCAGAAAGAAACAAAACCATCTTTCGGAAGGAAACCTGCACAGAGAACTCGAGCTTCATCCTCTCCCGTGAGGCAGTCCATTTCTTTGTTACAGACATTCTTATTTGGAATACAGATATCTGACCGACAGTGGAAACTGTTGCCTCTGCACTCTGGAACACAGGAGAATTACAAATGTAAATCACAGGATCACGTGGTTTGAGAGCTTTTTAAAATATAAACACAATATAATATCCCCATTATGGGAGACTTGGCTGTTCATAAATAGATCACAAAAGCAGGCTCTGGAAGTGTAAAACAAAATGAATACTTGGTTCTTCTCATTTTACAATTTTGAAGTTTTAAGACTTAAAAAAATGTGGATTTCTGTTACCAGTTCAGTAGTGTACTTCTAGACTTGCCAGTTTCATCCGCAAAACATGCCCACACCCAACCTCAGCCAAAGGACCTCCAGAGGAATTTATGATCCTTGGGTCAAAATTCCTGTCCAAAATCAGAGTCCCAAGCTGGCTTTTGATTGAATGAGCTAAATGCAGGGTTAGGAATCAAGAGTCGTATTTTGAAGATGCTGGATTTAATAACTTATTTCTTCTAAAATTCTTGATTATATGAAACGTTGTTACAAACCTGAGAATCCCCATCCTTTTAATTCCTGTGATCACTTTGTATGTTACCTAAAGCAAAGCAGTGCTTGAATTTATGGCAGGCATTTTTGAGCTACGTTATAACCTGATGTCAATCTACTATTTAAGGATATATGTCTTTAATAGAAAATCAGATAGTTCTCTAAAAGTATCCAGATATCCCGATATGATCCAAAGACCACTGAACTCAGTTGAAATACTTCTTTTGAAGCATCGTTTTGAGCCCATATGGCTGAAACAGCACTGTTTTGGTCAAGTGGAATGACTAAATGGCCTCTAAATATACGAAGACATGGCTATTTCTTATTTTCTTCGAAAATGCCTGTGACTGTGTTTCCATGGTTATCAGATGTAATTTACTGACAATTGTAAAACTACAGAAATTAAGGTTATCTAGGGATAGCGATGGGATTTGTAACTCACATTACAATTTGGCACCTGAAACCCAACTTCTGAAACTATTCTCCTGCATTCAGGTCATGCCACCTCCATTCCTTGGCTGTAATCACAGCTGGAATTGCACATACTGAAAGAATGACTGCTCATAAACAAGCAATGTGACAGGAGCTGTTCACAGATATTCTGGGATCAGTAATAAATTTAAGATAGATCCTACTTTGGTTTAAAGATAATTCTTTGGAAAAACAGTGTCTTTGTTTAATTACTATTGATTTCTCCCACCTAAACATATATTTTCATTCTAACATGGCTCATTTTTTTGTATCAGTGTTTAACAGCCTCCTAAATAATCTCTTTGTATTTCCTCATCCTCTGAGGGAATCCAGATTCTCAGAGATCACTTGCCTGCTTCAAAAAATTATATTATGCCTACTTCTTTTGCACTTTGAAAAGAGACTTTAGCTGTTACATCACTGTAAACATTCTTTGGGGGTGGTTTTCTGCTGAAATGATTTTGAAACAGCTGAGAAAGGAAATTATTACCTTTACAGCACAGTTCATCGCTTAAATCTCCACAGTCATTGATTCCATCACAGGTTTTATTCAGAGAAATGCACTTCTCGTTGACACAATGAAACTCACCATCTGAACAAGCTGTGCAGCATGATGAAAATGAAGTTAGTGCAGAAATGTCTATAGGTTCACAACTGCCCACAAAAATATTCTGCTTGTGCATTTTATTCTGTCAGCAGTTTGGCCTGTCAACAGTAATGTAAATGGAATCTTTTTTACTGTTTTAATCGGTTTCTCATGAAGCTTTCAATGTGACCACTTATTTTCCTCCTCCAACTTGCAGCAGCCTGGCAAAAGGGAACTTCATTTCTTCTAGGCAAGGACTAAACCAGAAATGATCGGTTCAAACCCACTGTAAATTATTCAAGTGATTAAGATGGTGGATGTTCCCCCCTAGAAGGAAGCCACCAAGCCTCTGTGAACTCCTACCTTTGTGGCATGAGAAAAACCTAAGACAACTCATAGCTTATAAGCAGCAGCTTCTCAGGCTGATGCTTACCAGTGCTGAAGAAAGCCCAGTACAGAGAAGAGAAAGCTGTCAGAAGTCAAAACGTGGACTTGATTCCACTTCTATCAGTGAGAAGCTGAGGAGACATGAGCAGATGACAAGTAGTCATGCTTGTCTGGCCTCAGCGCTGCTCGTGTCCTAATTGACCTCCTTCATAGACGAAGCAGTGAGTAGGAGGTTGTCACCTGTCTCCTCACCAGTTAACAGGGGAGAGACAAGAGTTGTGGAATACAGGCTACCTCGGTGCCCTTGGAAGGGATGGGGGAACAAACAGAACCATGGGTGAAATATATTTGCTTTTGGGAAGTACCTGTAAAAATACTTTAGGAGCAACAGTGATTTTCCAAACTCATAAACTCAAGACTGTCTTGACCCAAGACTGCCTCAATTGTCTTAAAGTCTGCAAAAGGGTTATTTTAAAAAAAATCAGAAGGTTTCAGCACAGGTTTGCTGTGGCTGAGACTTCGGCAAACTAGGTCCTAATTATTTTAAATGAACTTAAAATGTAAGAACCCCAAATAGATATAAAACTAAAAAAACCTACTAACCTCTGAGATTTTCATGGCACTGGAGGCTAACAAATCCCTCATTACTACCTCTTGATTTCATCTCTATGTGACATTCAGCAAGACTTGTCTCTAGGCCCCTGCAAGTTATTTGCAGACAGTGCAACGAGTTTAAGGCAGATTCTGTGATGCCGGAATTGGCTCGGTAATATTCAGCACCTCTGTGAGAATACAAATAATAATAACAAATTATATCATTTCACAAGGGATTGCCCACTGCTTTTGTTGTTTAGAATTTATATGATTTTCCTCACTGTTAAAGAGTTGCGGTCATGGCTAAGAAAAAAAGCAGACTTCCCATGGAATTGTCTGGGGGTAAGTAGGAGATGTTTACTTGGGAAGAAAAAGTAAAACAAAGTGATCATTTTTTGCAGGTTGCTGCATAGAACTGTCCCTAAATGTGTAGCTCGATGACGGTCACTGATTATCATGATGGATAGAAACATCTCCTTCTGTAGCAAAACTCGAAAGCTTGGATCTCTCTCTTGATGTGGACACAGGTGAGCCATAATTTGCCATCCTGTAT